GGAAACACTATATTCCCTTTGCTATGACATAGCTTCAAAGTTATAAATACATCAGAATCACCAATGGTCCTGACAGGATAGAGGATGTTTCTATGCTTTCTTCCTGTCTTCCTACAGAAGTTTTTGTTTTGTTTAAGAAAAGGTCTACCCAAATTTGAATGAAACAAACAAACAAACATACAAAAATACAAAAGAAATGCAAAGCTTGACATAAAAAACTATGATTTCACACCATACGGTTTTTTTTTTTTGTTGTAATGTGTGTTAACAGCACTGGTCCCTGAGCCACGTCTTACCTCATCTTTGTTCCGCTCCAGTTCATTGCCTGTCTGCACAGAGATGGTCACACTGGAGGAGTTTCCAGGGCATGAACTGCCATCTGACTTTCCATCCATAATCACATCACTGCTTATGGGTGCAGGGTCACCTTCCATTTCCACCACAATGCCGTGCCTCTTGTCAGCTCGGTAACGTTTGTGCATGTATTTGTAGAAGAGTAGGCGACGGTCAGCAATCCAAGCCAAGATCACACACACCGGAAAATAAAGCAGTGTCACTAAGGCCTCCCACACCTGGTGACACAGGCAATATCACATTACATGATTTACACACTTGATTGATTAGAAAATACAGCCTAACACAATAATCAGAAACACACCTCTACAATCCCAGGTGAGATGACAGCCAGTATGACGTAGAGCCAAATGTAGGCAAAAATACTCCAGAAAGAAGTAATAAAAAACACACGTAGGTGTTTGATCTTGCGAGACTCTCCATCAGGGATCACCCACACACAGAGACCAATTATCACAAGCATATTGAAGGCAGCACTGCCTACTATGGTGCCTGGGCCGAGCTCCCCTGCATCAAAGTTGTGCCCACACACCTGTCAAAGTGAAACATTTGAGGGGCAAAAAACAGAAATAACAAACATCACCATGAAGTAAATCAAAGACCTTTGTAATGCTAACTGTAGCTACATTTATGACCCAAGCAAGAACCAAAATAACACAAAGTCTGTCAGAATATGCTTGTTTTTTTTTTTTTTTGTTGGAATATATAAGCAGAACTAGAATTATGGCTTTGCAGCTGTATGCTTCTGCCAATCAGTCAAATTCACTGGAATGAGGCAGAGTGAGGTCCATGTGACCTTGACCTTCGACCACCAAAAATTTATCAGTTGGTCCTTGAATCTAAGTGGACATTAGTGCCAAATTTGAAGAAATTCCCTCTTGGCATTCC